AACGATTTAACATATTTCAATATGATTTATTGTTCAAAACGATTTAACATATTTGAATATGATTTATTGTTTAAAACATTGTACAGATTTTTTAACATGATTTACTGAACTGAACGATTTAACATATTTGAATATGATTTATTGTACACATGATGTACACATATTTGAATATTATTTACTATTCAAAATGTTTTACACATAAATGAACATGATTTAGTGAACTGAACGATTTAACATATTTAAATATGATTTAGTGTACAAAAACCCCAGGTCTGACAGCCCTATACCCGCCCCCTCCTCCCTACTGCTTGATGTCTACCTGTGACCACCTCACACCCTCCCCCCGTGTTCAACAATTAATGGCCCATTAAAACACGACACAGTACTATGACCATCCACTTGACTCCGGCGATCTAATCCTGGAGCATCCCCCCCCCCCCGCCACACCCACTGGTGGCATTGTAAACCTGCTGTTCATCTGGCCGTGGACGCTTTACGTCCTGTTGCCGCGCGTCCGTCCATTAGGGCCGCATGCTGGACGCCGGCCTAATGATGTAGCAATAATGTCGCCGGTGACTGGGTCCGAGTCGTACCATTTGTGGACGGGATACGCATGTCTACACATGCGTGTCTACACATGCGTGTCTACACATGCGTATCTCGTCCATTATCAGATAGTTTAGGGGACTGTGTGGCGTATGGTCAATTAGAAATAAATGTCCTTTCTTTTTTTTTATTATGGACTGTTATTTTTTTTAAATTGTAAAACATTTACTTCGTTGCTTAAAAAATATTTGAAAATCGGTGTCAGTTGAGTTCGGTTGTTGTTAAATACATTTTTATTTTAAATTGTACTTCTATAAAAATTGAACTTCTGTTAACAATTGTATTTATGTTAAATTTGAAACTATATTAAAATTGTACTTACCTTAAAACTGTGCTTCTCTTAATATTTTACTTCAGTTAAAATTGTACTTCTCTTAAACTTACAGTTCTTTTTTCTCTATGGACTACTTTCTCCACCCTACTGCTTCCTCTACTACTACTTTCTTCTAAATGTTCTATGGACTACTTTCTTCCACCCTACTGTTTCCTCTACTACTACTTTCTTCTAAATGTTCTATGGACTACTTTCTTCCACCCTACTGTTTCTTCTACTACTACTTTCTTCTAAATGTTCTATAGACTACTTTCTTCCACCCTACTGTTTCCTCTACTACTACTTTCTTCTAAATGTTCTATGGACTACTTTCTTCCACCCTACTGTTTCCTCTACTACTACTTTCTTCTAAATGTTCTATGGACTACTTTCTTCCACCCTACTGTTTCCTCTACTACTACTTTCTTCTAAATGTTCTATGGACTACTTTCTTCCGCCCTGCTATTTCCTCTTCTTCCTTCTATTTCCTCTATTAACTACTTCCTTCTGTTTCCTCTACTTCCTTCTGTTTTCTCTTCCTCCTTCTATTTCCTCTATGGACTACTTTCTTTTGTTATTTCTGTTTCCTCTTTGCACTGCAGCTTCCGTCCTTCTATCTCTCCTATAAACAATAGACTGTACGCTTTGAACTGTCCTCTTGGTAGTCCGTGCATTGAATGATGACACAGCCTGCATGGGGAGCTGCATTAAAATAATGATCTGAAGGAGCAAGACGGGGTGTTCCTTGTCTCTTGAGTCATGTTTTAACTTAGTCTCTACAGAAAAAACCCGCCCCCAGACAAAACTCTTTTATGAAGTCGTTATTAGCGTCTAACAGTAGCTTATTTGCATATTCTTTCTGTGACAGAATAACGATTGTATTCGGGCATTGAGATCTTTTTTTAAGTTGGAGCCGGAATAGAATTTAACATGGAATAATTTTTTTTTCTGGAGTCCACGAGCAGAAAGCAAGCATTCACCTGGCGTAGCGCCTTATAAAATCCCTATTAAGTCTCCGTAGCTAGGTTATCGGTATTAGAAAATAATTTCTTTAATTTCCATAACAATGGGGCAGGGGGTGGAGGAGGCATGAATGTGTGCGGAGCGCGGGTGTCATGCCTCTGCTGGTCGCGCGACACTCTCACCGCCCGGCTACCTGTCTAACTGTAGACGAGTCAGAAGAATCGCCTGGCCAATGAATTGTGAAACATGCGTGCGTGCGATCGGCGAGCTCGCGAGAGCACCTTTTTTTTGTAGGTACCAATAGACAAAGGTAGGGCCAGTTAACCACAAACAAGAGCCGTCTTCTGCTGCCCCTGCCTTTGAGGGTAACGCAACACACGCGGGGGGAGAGGCGTGTGTCGTTTTGTAAGCTGTTGATTCCGGTACCCAGCGCGGGAACAATAGGGCATGGGTCCCGCTGACTAGCCACGGGGACGGGCGGGGAAGTGCACGTGCCCCCGACAAAAGACTTCCTGCAAATGTGACCAGCACCAGGAGATCTACGTATAGACGCCGCCAGCCTCCAAAGTAGTAAAATTTTTGCTCTATTTCCACACCGAGACCTCTCCAGTGTATACGATTTTAATTAGCATTTTGCCACGTCGCTGAATTATTTTTTTTTCTTTTCTTCCCCCCAGTATAATAGAAAAAGCGACATGTTAAAATAACCGTTGAATCAAACTATCTTTTAACTATCATTTATTGCTTTTTGCTAAATCTTCAAAGCAAATTGACTTTTTATACTCATCTTCCATTACAGTAGTAAGAATAACCAGGCGTCAAAACGGCTTCCAAATTCAATTGATTATCTCCTAATAATGGCTCGACCATGGGTGAGATGTTCACTAGCCGCTGGTTTATCGCCACGAGTCTATGATATGGTAATGCCCGATATGGTAATGCCCTGTGTCTGCCTTTCATGCCCATCTCACCAGAAGCAATAACTCTTCACATGCTAGCCCATCAGGACACAATAGGAACATGCCCGGTGACTTTTGACCCCGCTCTATAAAAGAACGACAACTTAACGCCTAATTTGATCGGGCTGGTTTTTTTTTTTATTGGCGTTCAGCTCAACAAAACTTACTAAATTCCCCAAGAATATTGTCATATATTTAGCGTAGAATTTGTGTGGGTTTTTTTCTCGCTTAAACATATTATTTAACTAAAACTTCGATTTTAAAAAATGACATATTCACAATTGAAACAAAATATTTCTGTATTCTATTCCTAGAAAAAATATTATTCAAAAGTTATTTAAAAGTCGCCAATACTTCAAGGTTTTAATGCTAACATGATCCAATTGTCGTTCGTTTTACATAAGTATTATGTGTAGATATTTCAAATGTTGTTCGCTTTAAATACGTATTTTAATATATACATGGTTAATATGTCGTTCGTTTTAAATTAGTATTGATATGTGTGAACGCTTAAAATGTCTTGTTTTAAATAAATATCGTAATGTGTACATGCTTAAAATGTCGTACGTTTTAAAGAAGTAAATACTTTAAAATTCCAAAGTTTTAAATACGAATTGCAATATGAAATTGAAATAGCTAATACACAAAAACCTTCAGTTTTAAATATTGTTTTATTTTATAAACCAAAATTATTTATAAATTAACAAACTCTTTAAAAAACAATATTCAGGGTCTAAGTGAAAATAAAATGTACACCTTTTTATGTCCCCTAAAAACTGTACAAATAAAATCGCACCACCTCTACAATAGGATGCGTTCTCTTTCATTTCTTGTAAAGAGCATTCTGAAAACAAGTTTATTTTTAGCTGCAAGATGCAAGACAGAAAGCCAAAAAAAAAATCCCGGTGTATTTCTGTTTCCCATTGTGAGAATGTCACCCTGACAAAATCCAAGTTCAGCTTTCAATACGCGGCTTCCCCTAACATCTACAATACAAAACTTAATTGAAAGATAACCAACCCGGTGCGCAACTAAATTGTCGAATTGCGCACCATTATTCCAGATTTTCGATAAACAAGACCTCGGAGCAGAAGATTATTTGTTTCTTTTCTCTCTTCTCTCGGGTCCCGCTGTTTGTTTAGCAACCTCCCCCAACACAAAAAAAAAAATGCCCCTGTAACAGCTAACTTGTTTTGCCTCCATTTGGCATTCACCTTCGGTAGAAGGCCCTCAGCCGTAACGTTAATTAAATCTAGAACTGTCGACGTGTTTTTTTTTCTTTTTTTTTTCGGTAAATGGACCTTAGTTTGGGGGGTAAAGAAGTTTGAACGAGAAAAATGACTACCCGATTACACGCTTTCAAATGGGTTGTCACCGACTGTGCAGTATAAGGCATGGTTGCACGACGTCATGGACTAGCTCTTTGTATACATTATTTTTTTTAAAATAATTTCTTATGCTAGCATTCATTATAAATTAAATTTTAATTATATAATTTTTTTTTACATCTGCCTGAAAGTTTTGTTAAAATAAATTTCTTTAACTCGGTTTTTTTTTTCTCCCCAAATTTCTTGAAGTTGAAAAGTTGAATTTCTTTGAAGCCGTTGGTTCTAAGATAACTCGAGATGGGTATTTATAAAAATAAAAGGGTTATATTTAGAAACTGTTCTTTGATAATAAACAATTTAAAAATCCAAATTGGTCATGTTTTTTAATACTGCTTATTGATATCAACTTCTCAACTATGGAAGACTAGACAAGATTGTCAAACAAAATAACAGTATGTATATATATATATATATATATATATATATATATATATATATATATATATATATATATATATATATATATATATATATATATATATATATATATATATATATATATATATATATATATATATATAGTTATACAATAAACATTTACAGTAACAGTTGATACATTGTATGTTAAAAAAAATTTTAACACAGAGAAGAAGAAGGTTAGCCATATTAAGATTATGGAATATTTTTAAAATGAAGTTTGAAATAGTTAAGTCGTCCCTCCTATTAATTCCAGGTTATGCCATGCTTTGCGAGTAAATTGTTTTTTTTTTTTAAATCTGTCTTATGATAGCAAGCAAGTCAAACAATATGCATGTTTATATTTTGATTAAATAACATTTTTGCTGAGATGCATTTTTTTTGTTGTCAATTTAATGAATTTCAAAAGAACAAAACTTCCTTGTAGGAAATATTTTCCAGTGCTAATATGTTCTGCTTACTTGTATGTGTGTGAAGAAATATGCGGACATAATATATACAATTATAAAATACTTATCTGGTGTACGGGAAAAATCTTTATGAGAAATTTTGATATTAAAATGTGAAAACAATCCCTCTCGCACCACGCTACACCACAAAGAAACAACCACCCCACAGTAGAAACGACGAGTTCAGCAGACGACATCATCTCTAGGCACTGTCCACACTACGGTCACACTGTCCTTCCAGAGATTCTTCCTCATCATCATCACTAGCATCGTCAGCCGGACTCTCCGAATCCTGGTCGATCTTGCCGTCGTCCATATCCGGTTCATAGCCTTGTAACGACGTCATTGAATCGCCGTCCTGCAAGTTTTGAACTCCTCTCAGAGAAGTCTGCTTGCAAATGTTCGTATCGTAGTTACTGACACGGATAGCGCTTGGATCTTCGCCGTTGAGAATACTCGCCATGAAAGAAATATACGAGATAGCCAGTCGAAGCGTTTCTATACGAGAAAGGCGTTTCTCATAGGCGAACGTTGGTATCCGTTGGCGCAGAGAGTCGAAGGCTTCATTCAAGTTGTACATCCGACGTCTTTCTCTGATGTTGGCTGCCCGACGCTGAGCTGTAGTCGGGGCCCGACGTTTGCGACTAGATCTGTCGGTCTTTTCTCCGGCAAGTCTACGCTGGCAAGGACGTTGGGTGACGTAGTTCGTCGGTCTTTGGTCGTAGGCGGCGTATCCGGCGCTACCACCGACCCAAACATACGGGTTTTCGTGGTAGCCTTGATGGTAGTAGCTACCCGTGCTACCGTGTTGGTAGCAGTTCACATTATCAGAAGGCGGCTGCAAGTACGGAAATGCCGGAGCGATGGATATTTCCGGTGGCTGTAGATTTGGTTGAAGATTATAACTGTTGTTAGGCGGGGGGTCTCGAGACGCAAGCGAGTAGACATCCAAGATCTGTAGTGAAGGCATTGAGTAAATGTTGTCCAGGACCATGTCACATCACACACAGCACCACATCCGGTCTGGAACTCTGGACACTTTAAATTGAACTATTTAAAGAAACACTCCCTTATTTAGTCTAAATGTCTTTTTTTTCTTCCTTCCTTATTTGTCGTTAAGATATTCGAAACTTGCCGTCGTAGTATTGACAACTGGTCGATATGGGCGCCCTCTTTATGCAAATGAGTTTCATCAAAATTGACTTTTCTCGAGGAAAATGACTCGGGGTCGATTTTTTTCAATACGGACCCGGAGATAATTAAATCCTGCTATGTTTTTGTCTCCGTGCCTTCACTCAAAGCCCCAGACATGGTTGACGGGAACAGACTTAATTAAAACTACATCTAATTCCGTTCACTCGCACTGCACGCCAGAATTCTCCTCGGACGTCCGCGCACTGTTCTTCTTATTAAACAAAGGTGGGTATGACAAAACTCAAATTAAAGTGACGAACCAGTTGTTTTTTTGCCACTTATATTTACCAGCGCTAGATGGTAGCTACAGAAAGCTGTTGCCCTGTGCCCAATGTTGACGCCAGCTGTGTGCGTGCTTGCTGTTGCACGCCGAGGCTGCTTTGTGCTGTGACAGAGAAATGTCTAGTTTCTATCTACCACAGGACAACCAGTGGTCAGATGAGACAAAGGCCATCCCATTACCAGCTGAAGCTGTTACTGGTCCAATACTTGATGCCCTACCCAGCCTCTATTTAATAAACATTGGCTATTTTATTTTCTTTGTGGGTTGGTCGCACTTAGATCGACACGACAAACATGATACTTTGCTACAGTCATTGATTGCATTTACTGTCTCTACAATCATTAATTGGCTTTATTGACTGCACAATCATTGATTGACTTTACTGATTCTTATATTATGGGTTGACTTTACTGATTCTAATAGTATGAGTTGACTTTACTGATTCTAATATTATGGGTTGACTTTACTGAATCTAATATTATTGGTTGACTTTACTGATTCTAATATTATGGATTTTTACTGATTCTAATATTATGGGTTGACTCTACTGATTCTAATATTATGAGTTGACTTTACCGATTCTAATATTATGGGTTGACTTTACTGAATCTAATATTATGGGTTGACTTTACTGATTCTAATATTATGGGTTGACTTTACTGATTCTAATATTATGGTTTGACTTTACTGACTCTACAATCCTTACATATATTACATGGCCATATGTCCTTACATAGATTACATATTTACATGGCCATGTGTCCTTACATATATTACAGCACAATGCTACCAGTCACTCCTCCCACTTAAAGTTGCTGTGTTGTACATGGCCAAATTAAGGCCACACAATTATAAAAACTTGTAGCGCTCTAATGGGGTTGGGGTTGGACGCCAGCTGGTTGGCCGCCAGTGGGTTGGATGTTTTAAGTTATAAAAAACTAACATTATAATTGTATTTCAACGCCATTATCTTTGCGTGCCGTACACATTGACCAAGTCTCTACACATCTACTACACTACCAAAAGATTATCTCAAATCGATAGGTACTTGCTAACCAACTTCAATTGTGGAAATCGCTTTATCTGGGCTTTAATCTTTGAACAGCTGGTGTGTTTTAATCTAGTAGACTTACACACAAAGCCAATACGTCGATATGGACAAACCCATCAACTTCAACTCAACATGGTCGCTTAGTTCATTACTTAAGAAACGTATTGTACTTCAATTGTCCAACATTCAATGAAAATATAATTGTAAAATTCATAGTTGCTTTGTTTGGTAATGGAGAATGTGTTGGGGTAGTAGAGCGCACGAGTGCTATACTGAAAGTCTCAGGTTCGGTTTCTGGATTGGCGTCTGTAGTTGGTCTCTGAGTCCACCCATCTTTGATGATTGCCGGACTTTGGTGAGAGAAAGTAAAGTGGTCTGGACATTGTACTGACCCCAGTATTCTTTCATATGCCGAGGTTATAAAACAGCTCATCTTTCCTATTTGTAGTTATGTTAGTAAAACAAGCTTCTTTTACCCAGATCAGTTTAAAAATATCGTTTTTATTTTATTTTATCGACAGTCCATTATAAGTTACAGGAACTATTACAGACCCATTTATTCATCAAATTTAACTTCCTACAAATATTAGGGCCAAATTATAAAAACTAGCATAATACATGTGCTTCGCTATTGTGTACTGATTTAAAAAGTATTTTTTTCGAAAACAGAACAAAAACAACAAAATAGTGCATAACAAAACATATAGCCAGGACATGTTTGAGGAAATAACAGAACAAAGCTAAATTTTGTGCATGAACTGTAAAGAAAGTAAGAGATGAAGTCCACAGATTGGCACGTGAATCTCATTGGTAAAATTTTGTTGGTTAGAGAAAAGAGCAGGGCGGATTAGACCAGAAAAACAGAATAGAACAGAGCAAAACTGTAAAAAAATGTACAGAACAGAAGGAAAAGTTACAAGAAAACAGATTAAAACTAAAAAGAAATACTTAGTACGAACAAAACACGACAGCGAATAAAACAATACAAAAGAAAATAGAACAGAACATAAATAAAGATGCATATATATATATATATATATATATATATATATATATATATATATATATATATATATATATATATATATATATATATATATATATATATATATATACATATATATATAACCAGCGTACTAAAACAAAACGCCCGAACTACACATCCCCATCGACCCTTATTTTAATGCCCTTTGAATAGGCTCCCAGATGTCGCCCCTATCAGCATGAATTATAAGCAGGGATGTGATCCTGGGGAACAGCCGGACCAAATCTATTCACTGCTCGGTTCTTGCCTGCCAAACCCGTCTAACTCCACGCCATGTTATTTCACGTGGGTGGAAAAAAAAACGACTACAAACAATAGATTTCAATGGCTTGCTCAAGAAAAATAAACGCAAATGCAAAGTGATAGCTTTAATTTACGTAGTATTTTAATTCCTCTATTATATTTTTTAAAAAAATGATTATCCCTGCTTCGTTAGCTTTTAACGGATTATATGGGTTAATTTTTTTTTTTTTTTTTTTTTTAATAGTAGAATATTTGTTAGGAATTTCCTTTCAGATAGGACGTTGTTGCTCCAGCCGTTTAGACTCTGGTTCGGGCATCGATTTTCGTGCAACATGTGTGAGCCCGCTACCCCTGAGCCACTCACTAACGATCTCCCGGGCCAGCCGTTACCTGTATTGAATCACTTAGAAATATAAAGCCGAAATTCTAATTTAATGTTAATTTATAGATTTCCACCGACGTGTGCTAGCCGATTCGCCTTTTTATCGTGCGCAGTCTATACGACCTAGCTTTTTGTTTGTTAGATTTTTTTTAATGGTCTTGTCGTGATGTCATTCAATTAAAGCACGTGACCTCACTGCGTTTGCTAATGAGAGTATATATATATATATATATATATATATATATATATATATATATATATATATATATATATATATATATATATGCGTGTGTGTGTATACGTGTGTTAATACATCGTGAGATATCTCATTTATGGAGAAAATTAAAGACTAAAGACTAACAATACTTAAAGAAAACGGTAAATATATAAGGAGATATAAAAACAAAAAATGTTAAACTGTCTTTAATATACAGATACAACAATAATGAATCATTGAGGATGAAAAGTCGATTAAAGAATGACTAGACATTCGAGTTATAATTGAAATAATCACACATTTTTATGTGAATTTAGAAATTCACAAGTTTTATGTGAATTTCATCCATTATAACGCGACAGTACGTTATAATGCTCGCATAATTGTGTTAATGTGTAAAACGGTTTCTCGCTCTTTGAAAGAGATGATAACACACAATTAAAAAGTTTGCTAACAATTTACTTTCTATCTGCGTTCCTGTAGCGGGTTACTTTTTCATTATGTAAGGTTGCTGGCCGTACGCTCAACCCACAATCTAGATGGCCAGGGTGCCATTTCTCGTCTGATCCCTATCCGTGCAGACATCCAGATGATTTGATACACCTAGAGACAGTTTGAGAGACTATTCTAGAAAAACCTCTTGTCAGCGGCCTAATATTCCAGACAGGCTAACCTAACCTAACTACTTTATTAAATAGCCAACTTTACGTTTTTTTCCCCACCCTTACGTTATGTCTTCAAGACGTACTGTCTTGTATCATCAATTTATTTCTAAAATACGATAATCTTTTAGAAAAATCAATTGCTTGAATTGAAAAAAAATTTTTTTTTTATTTCCAACTGCTTAATACACAGTTGAAATTGTGCACGTATTCACACTGGCAATGGGGTGGGGGATGGGGTAGAAGAGTAAGCGTGCTTATTGCTTTGTCCAGTTTATTTCAATTAAAATGCGAAATTTTAATTTATAGTAGGAATGTGTTATCAAACGTCACACTTCGCCCTCAAACCGCCGCGCCAGTGATTTCAATTTTAATTAAAAACATCAAACATGGGATGCAAAAACGCGTATATCAAATACCATTTTAAGCGCAGCGTCCATACGTTGAGATAAACATTTTTTAAACTCTGTTTTTGTTCGACACACTGGTGTAATGTTTTCGTACAAGATTTTCTTACATTTGAAAAGTATTGTGTATCTGCGGACCACGGCTGTCTACATTGAAACGAATGATTGGCGGCGCCGACCTCCGTTAACGATAACATCTCGTAACATTTTTTATCATTTCTCCATCCGGTCAGCGGTTCTTTCTGAAAGTTAATCCGTCCGTCGATCACGTGTCTGCACCCTCCGCCCACCCCATGTCACCACCCCCCGTCCCTACGCCCACCCCACGCAAGCATCCCTCAGCTGTGGGCCCAGCGGGCCGGGTTATCGGCTCCACGTTTCTGATCCCAAGCTGCGCGCGAGGTCGCGTGCGGTCTCAATAAAGGTGTGGGTGACGTCATCGGGTGCTTCCTCCTGAAGGTCTGACCCTTTGTCTGAGAAACCAACCCCAGAGTTCCTCCCGGGTCGCTTCTTTTTGTCTACCTCATCCGTTGTTGACATCCGGTATGAAAAGAAAGTGTCACATCACGGAAGTGACGTTCTCGGGAACAAAAAGTTGGCTATTAGAAATGCTTATGTTGAACAGCAGGGCAACGAAACAAACAATGGGAAGATTTAATTCGGGGAGGGAGTTAAAAGACGCTGCAATATCTTTGATTCCAATCTGACGTTTAAAAAATTGGATTCTGTTCCGGAATCTCTTGCTGGGCGACACCTCTGGACGTCAGGTTTCAGCTTGGTGGTTGTTCCAGTGATGTTTGATACCTAGTCTCATTACACGGCACGGCAAAAATGGCGCTTGAAGATGCGGCACTAGGGTGTGAAACAGGAGGGGTAGAGGGTTTTCTTGTTGACGCCCTGTCTCATTAGGTCGTCCAGGCAAAGGTTCCTGCTCTCGTTCAGATGCGACAGGGCTGTGTGAAACAAGATGAAAAACTTGTTGTCAGTGTGTTGTCAAGATTTTTATCACAGATTTTTTTAGTTTTTTTTTTTTAAATCCTAGGAGCAGTGTGATATGAAAACACTTAAAAGTAGGACAAACCATTAATAAATATGAAAATAGTAACTACATTTTT